TACGGGACCGGTCCTAGATTTTGAGAACCGAAAAATACCGGACCGAACCGTTCGAAAATAATGTATTTGAATTTTTTATAATTTTTCTATACCAATAGATTATATATTCATGTGCTCCTAAACTAGCTAAATTTGTGTGTTTAGATTATATATATATTGTTATTTTTTCTTTTTAGATAATTTATGTTATATATTGATATGTATTGAAAGAATATTAAAATTTTAGAAATCATTAAAGACTATCCATTTCTAGTAATGTAGTGTACACGACTTTTTGTAGTATCATGTTTGCGCAATCTTACAACATAACTAATCTGGTTTAAATATTAGCTCTTAAGTTTCAACTATAATAAATTAAATTAGAACTACAGAGAAATATTTAACCTAGATTAAAGAAGAAGAACATTGAAGATTTCTGTTATATTCAACAATTTGATGATATTCTTTTTATATTTTCATATGAACTTAGTAAATTAAAGATGATATTTATCTCGTGCGTCATCATTTTGCTATACTTTTTCTTAGTTGTGTTGCAATATTTGTGTACTTGTGAACTTTAGTACTACATATGCAATTTCTTGTATTTATTTCAACATTACAAGCGAGTTGGCTGTTGTCAAGATATCTACTAATTGCAAGATTTGTTCAAAATTTTTAGCATGTGTTTGCCATTGTACCGTACCATTTTGTACCGTTCCGAAACGGCATGGAACCGAACGGTTTCATCCTTGAAACCGGACCTACCGGACTGTCAAAACCTAACAGATACATTACGGGTTTTACTAGTTTACCGGACCGTTCCGGACCGCGCCTACCCCTACTTAGGGGTGTTTGGATTTGATTCTTTAAATTGCTTATGCTCCTTCAGCGAGAAGAAACATAAGTTGGAGTGTTTGGGTGAAAGTCTAGAAGTACTTGTGAAGCTCCAAATTACTCATAGAATCATTTTTTTAGAAACTGGGGAGATCACTAAGTGCCTTGTGGTTTGATGGCATCACAGTGACACTCACAAAGAGGAGGACACATGTTTGAATCACTTTTGTCATCTTAAACATTTTCTTTCAAAAGTAGACAAGGTGACTTTTTCTTTTCACAAATAGACAAGTACTCACGTAAGGCTATAAAACTCATCCAGTGGAATCTATTCCCAAAAGGCGTACATAAAGATCCTCTTTAATGCACCTTTTTTATACTCCGTAAAATTATACGGACTCCAAGCTAAGCTCCAGGATTCATTCAATTTAAGTTTTTAAATAGGAAAAATTGTAAAAATATACTCGTATATAAGAAAAATGGAAATCTAAAAATATCAAAATAATAAATAATAAAATCTTAAAAATATATGAAAATGTAAAAAGTATCAAAACATTAAAAAATAAAATAAAATTGTATAAATGTACGATAACGTAGAAATAAAACAATTGTAAAAATGAATGAAAACGTAAAAAAACAAATTAAGATAATTAAAAATAAAAATAAAAAATATAAAATTAAAATAGAAAAATATGAGAAGTAAGGAAACATAGAAAATGCTTAATACTCCGTAATAAATCATAATAATAATAATAATAATAACAACAATAATAATAATAATAACAACAACAATAATAATAATAATAACAACAACAATAACAACAAAGGCTAAAACTTGTAAATGAATATTAAAAATAAAAAATGTATTTAAGTTTTGGATTCTACAGAAAATTTAAAAATACGTACTCAAAGCTTTTAAGTACAGAACTCAAGAAATAAAAAATAAATCATATTTAGATTTGTAAAATTTAAGATTTGTTGTAATATAATTGTTTAAAGAGTTTTAAGAAAATAAAATAAAATAAAATAATATTTTTATAAAACTAATTCATATTACAAAACAAAAGCGAAAGTATATACGGAGTAGAAAATAATAAATCTAAATTGTAAAAAACTGAAAAAATCTCAAAAATTGAAAAAACATAAATTATATTTAAAATATAAACCAAAATACTAAAAATATAAAAATTTAAATTTGTTTCTTTTTGTTGGTCATCCTGAAGATTTTATTTTTTACTGTTTATTTTTGTTTCTAGTTGTTTTTACATTCTTAAATCTAAATTTATAAGGTTGTTTTATTACCAGGAAGTAGTAGCTAAGATAAATAAAAACCTTACTATTAACAACAAACAAAATTAACAATAAACAACAATAAGCAACACATTGCAACAAAAAGCAACACAATGCAACAAAGAGAAACAGTTTTGATACAACCAAATGAAACCAAAATCAACATAAAATGTATCATAGTTAATATATAATTCAATCAATTATTTGAATTTATTACATCTATCTATTAGATAGTATATTATTTGGCCTTGCTTGATCTCATTTTTTCTGCCTTGTATATGCATGCAGCATTTAATGTAGAATCCATTATAATTGTCTCTCATGTCCTCATGTCTTAGTTGATCTTCTTAGTTTAATTATCATCTCCATGTACTTCTATTATGCACCTGAGATGAGAAAGCAATAAATACAATCAATATGAAACCAATAATTACAAGTAAAAAAAAGAAGTGCTGGAAGGGAGAGTGGAGAATTGGAGGATGACATGTTTAAGCTTTTCAAAGATTGAGGCTAGAGTGCTTTCTCCAGCTGCATGCAATTTCTTACCTGAAACTTCAGTGCAACTAAAAGCCACAAGGATAGACTGGAGTCCTGCAGAAATAGCAGCTTCATGATCCGCTCTTCTCATTTTCCCAATACATCTGATAGATGATAGTAACAAACTGGAATGATTTGATTTAATTAAACTTTCAATGAATTCCACCATCTCTTAATGGAAAATAAGCTTAAATTGAAAAGTATTATTAATCTGGGAAAAGTTCCTCTTTTATAACATTTTATAACAAGTATCATAAAGAATTTACAATCAAGAGCATCGATGAAAGATAATGTGTGGCCTGAGCAAGATAGTAACCATAATCGGAAGCACACTTCTCTGCGATTTAGATGACATGGGCTAGCATACCGGAATATGATGAGCACATGCTATACATAGATCCTTGCCTTCTGATAACACTATTATTAATTGCCTTGAGTTTGCAAGTCAAAATGTAGTAACAAATATCTTCAAGGACAGTCACAGAAAATTCAATCACTAAAGCGATGAATGAACAAAGACAACGCAACATGATCAAGAAATATACATACAAGTTTCTTACAATCTTATTGTTTGGGCAGACTATCTAATCAACTACAATCTAACCCTATAAATCTTTATATAGTAATAACAGATTTTGCTAATTCTCCTGCAAAAGTTTTACTTGACTAATCTTCCTAAGCTACGAAAATACGAGGGGATCCAACCAAGGAAGAAATGAGTTGAAATTAGAGTATTAAAAAACTGCAGAGGATACTACTGGTGCAAGCTATATTTGTAAAAAAAAAGTGAACTTGTCATAAGAAAATCCTACAATTAATTGAAATAATGCTTCTGTATTTTACCGGATGAAGTTACCAAATAAACATATTACTTAATCCCAAATATTCCATGCATTAGGCATTTAAATTTGCAATAAATGGTGATGAAGCTACAAATTTCATATAAATATGTGTTTGTGTTCTTGACATTCTTATAAAACATATCCATCCCACAAAAGCCCTGGCTCAAATCAGATTAGGAAACCAATGAATCACATGACAAATTTCATAAAGAATCACAATAAATTAGATATCACATATAACTCTTTTTGGCCATTTACGAGTAGGAAAAGCAAACACACAGGTTATTGCAGATGATTGGAGTCATTGGACACACGTCCACGTAAAAAATTAAATGAGTTTGACAAATATAGCTTCCTCTGGATTATCTTAAACTGCATCAAGCAATATGTTACTACGTACATTAAAAACATAACACTTCTTAAAGAAATGTGCATATACTGGTGTATTTTCTTTGATTTCATTCCAAGTACTTGTGAGGCTGTGCTGAAATCTAAATATAAATATGCTTAACCATAAATTTCTTCAAATGGACCCCCTGATCAATACAGTTATATTATTCACTTATTAATTCGGCAAATAAAAATAATCACAATGAGAAGCTTACCAGAACCACCTGAGCTACAAATCCTAAGGCTGGTCAGCTGCTTGCTTATTCCTTCGTCTCTTCTTCCCTATACCAGTAATACCACACCCTTATGACTGAAACCAGTTCCTCACCGAAAAAGGCACTCAAATCGGCTCCAACAACACAATTTCTGACGCCACCACCGTCATACAGAGTACCACTCGTTTAAAGCGATAGGTAGTCTCGAGATCATCCTCCAGAATTCGAAGTGGTAGAGAATCCGAGATGATGAGGATATATGGTCATGTAAGAGTAGCTTAGAAGATTCTTACATGGAAGGAGGGACGACAATGAGAGGAGGCAATGAAAGTTTTGGAACAACTATTCTCCAATTGATTTCTGCTATCATCTACTGCTCCTCCTTCGCATCAATTTTGATAAGGGGAGAGGCGAGGGTTTGAGAAATGATGATGGGAGAGCAGGGACAATCCAGACATCGGAAGACGCTTGGAACTTGGAAGGCGAAAGGCGTGAGATGAGGATTTAGTGGATAGGATTTTGATTTAGAGAGAATTCCCTAAATAGAGGTAAAAACGTTTTGAAATTCCAAAATAGGAGTATCATGTTTTTTATTCCCTGAATAGGAGTAAATTTCTGCCAAGTTTGGCATTACAAGGCTTTTAAACATGGCATTTTCTTCCAAACTTGGCAGATTACTCCTATTCAGGGAATAAAAAACATGATACTCGTATTTTGGAATTTCAAAACGTTTTTATTCCTATCTAGTGCATTTTCTGTTTGATTTAGTGGTTAGGCTAATTTTGAAATAAAATAGGTTATTAAATTTGATAAAGTGAAAGTTTAGATTTGAAAAGAAAAACTAACGGAGACATAAATGAAATGCAACACGCAAAAGAGGTCTAAATGGGTAATTACCACAAGCCTTATTTTAAAAATATTGAGTAGCCTGGTTGGTTTTAAATGAGCCCTAGCCCATAACAACGTATGCCCCATAATTTGAGGTTTTATGGCATACATTGTTTACCAACCAAGACAAGAAGCTTCAGATATTGACGAGATCCAAGAGGGTGAAGCATCAGAATTGTGATTGAACAGATCCGGGACGCTGAAGATGCCATCCATGTGTCTGCTTCCGATTTATTTCGATGTAGGGTTGGAGGATGAGGCGGAGGCGCTTGACGAGGAGCAGAGTTCTGAGGAGGGCGATGGTTCACCACTTCAGAAGAGGGCTAAGACAGAAGACGAGGAAAGCGATAACGATGATTTTACTGGGCCGACCCTGACGGAAGAGCAAATGGAGTTATTCTTAGCTTACCAGGATCACGTTCGAAAGTATCATGTAAGTAATGTATTACATATATCCAAATCATGGTTTGATATTGCGAAATCGAATCGTAGATTTCCAGGCACGTTTCGATGGATCGATTAAAGGCCAAACTACTTTTACGATACACACACAAATATTTAAGCTTATTTGTCAATAAATACACACACGCATAATTTGTCTACAAATTGATTTGATTTACGCCTTAGAATTTGCACTCAATATGCAATTTTCGAACATTGTTCCACACTTTTATTCTTAGAATTTGATGCCGGATTGTTTGTTGAATCAATCATAGGGTTTTCATGTGGATATGAGTTTATGGCCGGATGGTGTTGGTATCCTTGGTGGAATTGAGCCTGTGGATATTGAGAACGATGCAACCGAAAAAGCTGAGGTTTATGAGGCAGCTCGTCGTGCAATAAAGATGCACAAACTTGAGAACCCCGAGGTTATATGTTCTTTTCACATGTTATTATTAGTTACCAAATACCGATTGAGACTATTGGTTTCCAATTTATGCAATGCAGAGTCCGGAGCTGGAACTTGTACGGGTTATTCGAGCCAACACAAATTACTACGCTCTTTTCATAACCATGGTGGTTAAAGACGTGGCTTCGGAAAAAGAGGCAAATTATCAAGCACTCGCCAACTACTGGGCAAGAAAAGATGGATCAGTCTATTTCCGATTGTTCTTCTTAAGGCCAGAACCAAAACAACATAGAATAGAAGATGTGGTTAGTACTTTCTAAATGAATATGAGTAAACTATTTCATGCTTTGTTTATGTAAAGTTGTTGGACCGATTACACTTTCAGATGTGTTTTAATGCAAAAATCATTCTTTATTTTATTATTACACTTTGCACCAATTTTAATAAGATGCAAATATGTGATTGTATATCTTTACTTGAAAGGGAAACAGATCTTACAAATATTTTATTTAAAAGAATTTGATAAGTGGTAAAAGCAGTTGTAATTTGAAAATAAAAAATAAAAAAATTGAATAAACTGTACAGTTTAGGGTCCAAGCAAAAGTAAAAGCACAAAGAAATATGCATCTTATGTCCAATAGATGTTCTACTGTCCTTTTGAATATGATGAGGAGTCGTTTGCAAATTGTAACCTCAGCACTTGAATTTGATAGTATTTGTTTGCGTCAACGATATTCCCTTTTGACGGTTGAGACTGATGAAACGCACACAAAGCGCTTTGAAGAGTAACACACACACACGTATGTGTGTGTTTTGGTCTGCCTATGGTTGTTGCTTGTGGTATCTCGGGCAAGTTATATAATGTGAATGACCGGATGTTGTTTAATACTCTGAGCTTGAACTTAGTTAAGCCACTCTTATTATTATTATTATGAACTTGTGGTGTTGTTGAGTACTCAGAATCATGTGCTTGAACTCAGTTAAGTTATTCTACTATTATTATTATGAACTTGTGGTGGTGCTGAGTATTGAGAATCTGTTGCTTGAACTTAGTAAAGTCACTCTACTATTATTGTTATGAACTTGTGGTGTTGTTGAGTATTGAGTAGTTATTGCATGGGTGTCATGTTGCGACTGTGACCAGAATTTTTGGGTAAAATACGTTTCGGATTCCAAACTAGTTGTGACAATTCTTGATAAAGGCTCTACTTTTGAGGAAATAAAATCACCCCTAAGTTGGGCTAGTTCTAGTTACCCCCAGGGTTTTAATTCTAAAATCCTATCTTCCTATGTCCATACCAGCCCGTAACAGAGGGTGGGGCTGTGCATTAGGATCCCATCTTGGGAAAATTTTGAATTTCTTTTCAGATATCAAAGCAATTTAGAACATTTTCAAAATATTATAACATTTTTAAAATTGTTGAAATCTATATATGGATATGTTGATGTTAAGTCCTCGTGCTCTGAAGGCGCAACAGTCCTTCGTGTCACATTGGATCTTTATTTCTCAATATATTAGTTTGATTAGTTAGCAAATAGATGGTAGCAAGCAGAGCAATAAGAGAAGAAATGTAAAATGTGTCACATTTTATTTTGCAAGTATAGAACGGTTACAACTCACAACACACTTATCGAGCTCGAGTCTCTAAGGGAGTGTTTGCAATAGCTTAAAAAAAGCACTTCTCAGCTTTTGTCTTAAAAAAGCACTTATTTACCAAACACTTCCAATTTTTACTTTTTCTCGGCTTGCGTGTGAAAAGTGTTTTTTCCCTTTTTATTACACAAAAAGCACTTATTTTACCAAATATTATCAACTTTTACTTTTCAAAATCACTTTTTTCTCAAACACTATCAACTTTTACTACTAATCACTTTTTCATTACATCTCCAAAAGTGCTTTTTTTTTAAGCAGAAGCAGTTGCAAACACTCCCTAACTTCTACTTCAAGTTGAAAGTTATAGAAAGAGTAGAGAGGAGTGATTAAGCTATTGATTGCAAGTTTATCTTACAATAAACTAGATTTTTCAAGCATATAATTTCACAGTATACAATTTCAAGCATTAAATTAAATTGTTTGAAGCATTAAAGATCAGAAATGTTATGATAAAGATAGAAACTATGAGTTATTATCGGTGGAAAATGTTATGGGAATTTTTCACAAATAGTCCAAAAGGTATAAATAATATCACTTTTGTTATTTTTCAAAGTTTTCAAAAATAGACTTGTTAGACTCTTCTTTTCACAAATAGACCGTAGCCCTGTAACCCACTCTTACTGGAACCTCTTGTTAACTCAAATTAGCAACTAGAGGAAATCAAGTCATGTTAGTAAACTAGGCCTTATTTTATCATTATTACTATCAGTATACGGTTTGCCTCTAAAAGTCTAAAGTGACTAGACTTCTAAAATTCCAAACATATGACTCCAAGCAGTTACAGGGGACCGGAAAAGCAGGCTTTCAATATAAATCCGCTAGCCAATTTTAAGTAAAGAATATAATTGATCATAAATTACACTAATTCGGTAACTGACGTCCTCAAATTTAGGAAGTATACGTGATTCGTGAATGATGCATATACGTGTCAACCTGGTATTCCAGCCAATTCAAGCACAGTCCAAGATCATCCGAAAAAAAGCTCTTCAATTTTTCCATGCTTGTCAACGACTGCACCTGAAGGTATATTAGCGTTTTTTTTTTGGATAGCTTAGCGAAGTAATAAATACACGGCAAATTTGCGATGTCTTGTTCTATGAGAACATGTGAAATCTGCGATAGTGAGGTTAGTTTGGGTTTAAGTAATTCTATACTTACGTGTTATGGACAATATACAACATTAGTAGTAGGAAAAATAATAAAAAATACCAAAAGTAAACAATTGTTGCTCAACATGATTAGGGATCAGTTGGCTTAAAAAGGTGCACAAACATTAAGGCATTAGTGACGTTAAAAAACCAAACTAGTATGAATGACTAGTCTCAATGGTGATGTGTATCTTAATTGAAGATATACCAACATTAAGTAACTAAAAAATAGTAGTTCTTGACAATAAGAACTAGAAAAGTTCAAGTTGTTTTAAGCAAGTAATTGTTCAGAGGAGTAGATATAACAATTATAGGCTGCATAGTTAACACAAAAGATAAAATGATGTTTGGGTGACTCTGTTAGATTATGACAAAGAATTTGATGACTTTGTAATGTAAATAACGGCTGCAGGGCATTTGCATTTGAGGTGATTGGTAAAAACTGTAGAGCATATGCTGTTGACCTAGTGGAATGCAAATGTAGTTGCAGAGAGTTTCAACTAGAAGACTTTGTCTGTGTGCACACGGTAGCAGCTATATGTAACCGGAATGGGCTGTCTTGTTACGACTACGTTTCAAGTTACTATAGTAGCGAGTCATGGGTAGAAGCACATAAGGGTTCTGTCCCGCCCTTAGGTTCATATTCTCTGTATGATGCTCCAGTGGGAATTAGAAATTGGGTGGTTAAACCACCAATATCAGATAAACGTGCAGCGGGGAGGCCGAAAAAGAAAAGGATTCCCTCAACAGGGGAATTTCTAAAGAAGCAAAAATGTGGAAGGTGTAAGGAGCAAGGTCATAACCAAAAGACATGCAACAACCCAATACGAGGCATCATTGAACTTTTAAGCTTTGTTTTGTTTTTACTTTGAGTCTGGAAAATTTTGGAGATAAATAATGTTAGCAATAGCAGTGATACGGTTGTTCTGGAAACAATTTTTAATGTGAGTGAAAATGAATAAATTATTTTGGTCAATTTTGAGTGCTCATTGATGACCACCAATTCAGTAATTACTTGTTTAGTAAATAAGGAAGTCCCAGCAAGTTGTTTTTATTTTGTTATGTATTCATGAAATTGGCTTTGTGCATGGGGAGGTAGTAGGTCTGTGATGGCACAGTTAGTAGATGGTATTGTTAGTGACCATGTTGATGATTTAGTTTTCAATGACCAATATTTTAATTTTTTTAACATGTGTAGTGATGGTGTAGTTAGTTGATGGGTTCTTTAGCGTCGAGGGTGAGGAGTTATCTTTTTTAGTGACTAAGATGTGGTGGTATATGTAGTGACAGACATGCTAAATAGGTACGCCGAAGTAATTAGTGAGCACGCAGTAACTAAATTGTTTTTTAAATGACTAATATGAGGTGTTAAATTTAGTGACAAACATTTAACTTGGTCTGCCGAAGTACATAGTGAGGACGTAGTAACTAAAATATTTTTTAAGTGACTAAAATGAGGTGTTAAATTTAGTGACTAAGAAGCTGTTCCGTTCACCTGATCTGAATGTTTCTGATCTGAATTTTTTAAGTTCTGATCTGATCTGATCTGAATTTTTCTGATCTGATCTGATCTGATCTGAATTTTTCTGATCTGATCTGATCTGATCTGAATCTTTCTGATCTGATCTGAATCTTTCTGATCTGATCTGAACGTTGCTGAACTGATCTGAATGTTGCTGATCTGATCTGATCTGATCTGAATGTTTCTGATCTGATCTGAATGTTTCTGATCTGATCTGAATTCTTCTGATCTGAATCTTTCTGATCTGATTTGAATATTTCTATAATTGTAATTATAATTATAATTATTAGATTTATAATTTTAATTAAAAATATAACTTAAATAAAATTACAATTATAATCATAATTATAAAAAAATAATAATTAAAATTAAATTTAAAATTATAATAATTATACCAATTACACTAATTATAAATACAGATACAATTATAAATGTAATTATATTTTTAATTATGATTAATTTTATAATTTTTTTTTTGTGATTATAATTATAATATTTATCTCTATAATCATAATTATATCTATAATTACTAATTTAAATATATAATTACTCCGAAGTAATAATAATTACAAAAATAACAACAAGAACAACAATCATATTAATAATGATGATGATTATAATTATAATTACATTGTAAATCATAATTATAATTATAATTATAAATATATTATATTATATTATATTATATTATATTATATTATATTATATTATATTATATTATATTATATTATATTATATTATATTATATTATATTATATTATATTATATTATATTATATTATATTATATTATATTATATTATATTATATTATATTATATTATATTATATTATATTATATTATATTATATTATATTATATTATATTATATTATATTATATTATATTATATTATATTATATTATATTATATTATATTATATTATATTATATTATATTATATTATATTATATTATATTATATTATATTATATTATATTATATTATATTATATTATATTATATTATATTATATTATATTATATTATATTGTATTATATTATATTATTATAGTATAATAATTTTATATTATTAACATTATTATTATATTATTATTAATAATATTATTATATTAAT